GGGAAAGGAGGTGGCAATCCCAGAGTGCTTTGGGATGGTGGACGAGGAGCAGAGACAAATGAATTGTGCAGTCTGGGGAGGTGCTTGCTTGCTTCTGTGCGCCGATCCCTGTTGAAGGGTGGTCGCTGTGCACAATTTCGCTGGACAAACATTCTAAAACTCCTTCACGTTGGTCCATGTATGATTTATTCCTTCAGGAACATGTGCTTTAGGACTGTTGGACCACAATTCAGGCCTGCACCTAAAATTCCATCGCTGACTTGGCCAATGCTCAGCATAAGACAATGGCACAAGTTTACACCCTAACTAACATTTCAGTGGTTGCTAGATCAGTATGAATGGTGGTTCTTGCAAAAATGGTTAGCCACCCTTTGATCACCCACTGTTCTTTCCTAGTCACGAGTGTTGGTGTCGTTGATGCTATACAGGTGACCCATTTCTGCCATGGCAGCTGCGATTTGCTGGGCGTGCAGATTGATGCGGCCATAAACAGCGGAAACTCTGGCGGACCAGTATTTAGCGAAGCTGGGTATTGTGTCGGGATTGCCTTCCAGTCATATGCCGGCAGCGATGCTGAGAACATTGGGTATGTCATTCCCACTCCAGTGATAAGGCATTTTCTGCAGGACTATTCCCGGAATAAAAAGGTCACAGGTTTCCCCGCCCTGGGGATAACTTACCAGCGTCTTGACGCCAAGGATATCAGAGAGTCGTGTGGTCTGAAGGAGGGACAGAGTGGTGAGCACGATGGTGTGAGGGCTTGTACGAATTTGCTTTTGCTTTGAGAAAGCAGCTGTGAGCAAGGGGAACTTGATGATGGGGCATAGGCTTGTATTGTTGCTTGAGTGGAGGTTTTGAAGGAATTGAAGTGTCTGTTTCCATGTGACGGCCCTTTTCGTTTCCTGGTTTCAATGTTTGTTTCAGCTTTTGTGTGGTTATGACCCCAGATGTTCGTCACTGTTGTGCGTTTTTGGCCTTGACTGCTGTGGCTACTTGGTTCTCTTTGCTGTGAAGTCAGCTGGCCACCAATCACTGATGATTACTTCAAGTTGAATTATTGCGTGCTTGAATAGAACACATGGTGTCAATGGTTGCTCATGGCTGCCATCAAGGGCTGAAGGGGCATGCTATGTTCTCACTTGCATCCCAACTGGCATCTTGCGCAACGCAATTGCAATCTTCAATCACAGGAGCAATCCAGTGCTGGAAAATGCATGCACAATGAAGTGATGGTTGACCAAAATGCTATTGACCTCCAGGGGTGATGGTCAGGAGTGTGAACCCCACTTCGAATTCTTTTGGGGTTTTGGAGGTTGGTGATGTGCTCATGGAGTTCGATGGCGTCAAGATAGCCTGTGATGGAACTGTGCCCTTCAGGACATCGGAGAGGATAATGTTCACATTCCTTGTGGCAAACAAGTTTGTAGGGAACATGGCAGACCTTCTAGTGTTGCGTGATGGGACCCCCACAAGGCTACAATTCGAGTAAGGAATATGATCTCCAAGGCAAATGCTGTTCTGACTTATCTGCAAAGCTGCTTGTCATATTTGTGGCGATTCCATGTTGGTTTGATTCTGCAGTCCCACAATACTGACCACAATGCTTGCTGGTCATCTGATAGGATATACATCCGTATGTGGCCCAGGATTGTAGTGATGCCTTTGCGGGTTGAACTGGACAACAGTGATTGGGAATATCTGGACATGCTCTTTGGCCCATGCTGTATGCTATATGATCTGGGATCTGTGTCTCCAGCTGTTTGAATTGAGCCAGCCCAACAGGACAGCCTTGTGATGTGTAGGTAGGATAAACTCCGATTGACGATAGGGCAAAAACAACTAAACATTGACAACAAACAACCCATCAGCATGTAGTGCATGACAATGTCACTGTATGTAGCTTTTGAAGTCGGAAAGCAAACACTTTGCAGATATAATATCATTGTGCCAGGTCTTGCTGCGCTTCCTCAATCAGCACAAGTGCAGCCAGGAACACTAGAGTCAGAAGGAACTGGCCCCAGCATATCTGGTGCATTGTACTGAGGCTTGTCTATGTGGATCTCTGATGGCACTGACTGCATATCTGCTCACGGTTGCTTGTAATGTGTATGTTAGGTTGGGCAGACCACAGGCTCTGGTCCCCTCCCATCTGAACGGTAAAAATCCATCCTACTTCGTTGTGGCAGGGTGTGTTTTCACATCCCTGAGCGAACCATACTTGGCCAACGAATTTGGGATGGACTATGCAACAGAATCGCCAGTCAAGCTGCTTGAAAAGGTGTATTTTGGGATTCCCAAAAAGAAAGGACATCAAGTGGTGTTGCTGTCGCAAGTGCTGGCAAATGAGGCAACAGTGGGATATGAAGACATGGAGAATGTACCAGTAAGTGTGCTTGGTCCATGCAAGGAATGCCAAACTGTTGGAGCAAGCCTTTTGCCAACACGCCTGTCTTGTCGCTGTCGCGAAACCACCGAGAATGTACCAAAGCTGTGAGGGAGTCGGCTGATACCCTTCACATTCGCCCCGTGTCCCTGCTCGATGGACTCCCGTGTGTTTGCCTTGTTCTGAACGATGCGGATTCATCAGCAGTCGTTAGCCCTTGAAAGTTAATCCTCCACTGCAGACAGTTGGACCGTGGTCACCCTGCACTGCAGGTCGTCGCGTTCAACGGCACTCCTGTGGAGAACCTGTGCCACCTCTCGGAAATGGTGGTGAACTGCAAGGAGAAGTACATGACCTTTGACCTGGAGTACCACCAGGTTATCGTCCTTGCAACAGAGGCTGCCAAGGCTGCAACGGATGTGGTCCTGGAGGAGTACAGCATACCCAACATGGCTTCTCCAGACGTCAGGGAGCATCTGGAGAAAGAGAAAGCAGGGTCAGGAAAGAGAAAACTCAGTGAGAGGCCCTCAGGGGCCATTCGATTGTGATTTGTACAGAGCGGGCCTCATGGGCAGTGGCTGTGGCATGGTGTTCATGACGCTCATTATAAGACTCACCTGCGGTGCATGACATCCATGATACCTGCTCAGGAACAGAAACAGTGTTGTGTGCAGAATTGAGTCAGAAATGCAGTGTTCAAGAGCAGCTGGCACAGCTCCCATGTCTAGTGGGCAGGATTTCTGCTGCCCAGGCAGGAACAGCAACAGCGCCATGTGCAGGTCTGCAGAATTGCCCTGTTACGACCTCATCAACACGCTGTTCTGGCCCTTTTGCTCACATAGTAGGCACAGCGTAGATGTGAACCTGTAGGCAAGAATTCAGTGTGCTTCAAAGTGGTGCAACAGGTGTAGTGGTAATGATCGGACAGGTCATCTCTGTTGAGCTTCTGTGGTTTGGATGTTTCTTGATAGTGGCGTGCTCAATGGCAAGTGAGAGGCACCAGACGTTGGCTCCGTTGGCGTGTTTGTTTGTAGAACTGTTTTTTTAGAGTTAAGGGGATTCTTTCAGGATGTAAAGTACAGGATGCATCATGCAACTTGCTGATGTAGGGGTCCAACTCCTACTGAGAGCCTCAGCATGACGTGTATCTGCGTTGATTGCACTTACTCAAATCTGACAGCAATTGCAGCATGGCTGGCGTGAAGTCATATGCCTGTGACGCCATTACTTCTGAAGGTTGCACGAATGTGCTTGTAATACTCTGTGGCCCACCGCACTAAGCTTTGCTGTTGTCAAGATGCGCTCTAGAACCTTGCGAACTGCTGCATGGTGGCGCAACTCCTCAACGGTTGTCTTATTTTACGAATTGGAAAATACTTAGTAAGACTGGAGGCGTTCACGTGCACAGGAATGGCTGCTGCGACCTTGGTATCGCCGGAATGCTGCTGGAAGTTCACGAATGCACCTTCGTGACCTGCCCCACCGGGTTGTGCACCACGAGAGGAAACCCCAGCGCCGCGCGTTGTGTGCACACATCCTCTGGCGTTGCCTTGGGGTTGACCCAACCCCCCAAACCGGCCAGCGCAAGTCACCCAACAGCCGGGAAAATCGACAATATATTAGTCCGTCTGTCTTTTCTATGAAGATCCCTTGTTCTTCCGCTGGCAAGGCCCACGCCGGTCAGTGGACCAGTGGTTTGAGCTTTAGAGCATCTTTATCGGTCGGCGCTATTGTTCCGGCGGAGCTATTCGGCTATCCGAATAGCTCCGCACGTCAAAAAACCATCATTAACGGTTGGGGAGCAATAACTCCCCAATAGCTCCCCCGGAGCTATTCGGCGCCCAGCGGAGCTATTCGGGGCCAGAATAGCTCCGCTCGAGACCGAATAGCTCCCCAGAATAGCACCGGTGCTATTCGCGCAACACTTGGCGGCGGCTGCTTGGAACAACGCGGAGGGGCCTTAGTACAGCGGAGGGGCCTTGGGACAGCCGAACCATGCAAATAGCACCCCCCGTTACGGATGCCCACGAGGTGGTATTGCTCCCCAAGGCATCCACCGTTACGGATGCACGCCCGGTGCTATTGCTCCCCAATAGCACCGGTGCTATTTGGCACATGCCACCTTAGTAAGGTGGCACGGCAGCCAATGAGAACCGTTCCTGAATAGCTCCGCCGGAACAATAGCACCCACCGATAAAGATGCTCTAAGAGGGTGTCCGAAACAAGAAGGGATCTTCACGGAAAAGACAGAGCGACCAATAGGGTGCAGGAAAGATCCCACTCCAAACCCGGGGAATTTGCAGGAATCACCTCCCGCGGTCGCTACCCTCCGGGCAACCCCGATTGCGGACGCCAGCAAACTGCAGGGGGCCCAGCGCGCGCACCCCACCGCGCCAGGTCGTTCTCCGCTAAGCAGATGCCCTCGCTGCATTCCGCGCAGCAAGGCGCCCGGGAACCGCACACCGCCAGCCCCTTCGCCTGCTCCAGCCCCAAGGCCCCACCCGCCCGCCGCTCCCCTTCCCATCGCATCAAGCACCGCCGCCCCCAGCGCGGTCGACCATCGGGCACCGCGATCGCCGCCAGCCGGGCGGGAGTGGGTGAAGCGGAGGGGCGCGCCATGGAGGTGGCGCACGTGGGGCAGAACGGCGTGTCGCCGCCGGCCAAAAGGTGCGTGCTGTTCTACTGCCCGGACACGGAGGCGCTGGCGCGGAGGGTGGCGGACGCCAGCGAGAACGTGGACCTGGGGGAGATACGCTGGAGGTGGGTTGGTGGGGGGATGCGATTTGTTACAAAAGAGAGAAGAAACAGGTCACACGCTGCTAAGCAAGTGTATGCGGGACTCTTTTCCATGCAGTGAAAGATTGTGCAGAGCCAGAGAGGGGGGGTGGAGGGGGAGGGGGAGGTTGGCGGCGCAGGTTAGGCAACTGATAGAGATGGCAGCGATCGGGAATGGAGTCTGTGCGCAGCGTGCGTGCACGAGGCCACGCGTCGGGTTGCTGATGAACGCTAGCATCTGCGGGAGTGCGAGGTGGGGCTTTTTCTCCGGCGCGCCCGAGGGGCCGGCGATTGCGCTGCGCTCGGACTGCCCCCGCGCGTCTCTGAGGCGCCCGTCCCCTGGTTCCGCCCCCCCCCTGCGCAGGAAGTACAAGGACGGCTTCCCGGACCTGTTCGTCAAAGACGCGCTGAAGATCAGGAACCGGCACGTGGCGTTCCTGGCCTCCTTCCACAACCCCTCGGTCATATTCGAGCAGATATCCGTGGTGTACGCGCTCCCCAGGCTCTTTGTTGGGTCCTTCACGCTGGTGCTCCCGTTCTTTCCCACGGGGACATCGGAGCGGGTGAGTGGCCGGGCGCAGCGGCGTCCGTCTGGCCGAAGTTGCGTGACGTAAAGCCGCGGCCGTGGCAATCTGGGGCTCCAGCAAGCCGAGGCCGCAGACTATTCTCCCTTGAGCGTAGGTGGGGGCAGCTTGGTCATGGGCTCCGGGTGTTCTCCCAGCAGTCTGCGCCAACCTTTGTTGTTAAGTTCTCAGTTCCGCGCATTTCGAGACACTGTGGTCCAGCCCCCTGTTCGAACCCTGTGGTGGCCCTGGGGGAGGGCTGTGGCTGTCTTTCCAACAGGCAGGGAACATTTTACGTTCTCCAGAGCCTCGTTGTGACCAAGCACTCATTTGGCCAGACTTTCTCAGCACTGTAGGCGATGGTGCAGAATTCTCCATGTGCAACTGGAAAAGCAGTGGGTGCCCTTCACCGTTGCTGTCAAGATTGTCTCCCAGATGGACCCCTGGGATGTGGCAAGACAGTTTGTAGTTTCGGCTATCTGAGCATATATCCCACGCAGCAGCTGCGAATTGTGTACGCCATATGCTCCAAATTAAGCCCGGGCCCTTGAGAGCGCAGTGAGAGTCAATAATTTGAGGCAATATCCACATAAGTTTTGTCAAATGTCTTGTGAATCGTTGTGCTGGGACCTCTTATTCCATACCTGGCGCTGGCCACCTGCACAAGTGTTTGTTCCTGAGGCTGTGGGACCAGAGCCTCATTGCAAGAGATTTGAAAGACAATTTGGCTTGTGGTGCAAGTGCAACCTGATAATGGCAGTGATATATGGCTGTTGGCCATGCATCCCATGGGTTGCAAAAACAGCAGTTCATCGGTGCAAGCATGGTGCTGAAACGTGTGATTGATCTGGGCACTACACCGCAGGCAAGTTATGTATGTCCGGGCTTGTAAACTTTGCAAACTATTCTTGTGAGCATAGCTTAGATACTGCTGTTACAATTGTTGTGGGTATGGCCATTGTTTAGAAACTATTGTCAAGATCATGCGGCCAGATATGTGTGGAAAGATGCTGTTGAGTATATTGTATTTGACACGGACTGTGCTTTTCAGGTTGAGGCTGAGGGTGATGTTGCAACGGCATTCACGTTGGCAAGGATATTGTCTCAGACACCACCCTCTAGAGGGGGTCCCACCAGCCTAGTTATATTTGACATTCATGCCTTGCAGGTAGGTCTGGACCATTGCAGCAATTGTGCCTATCATGTTGAGAATTGCTGCATAAACCTTTTGCCCTCTGGTACATTTGTGGGATCTGTTGCTCAGTAGGAATTTTCGTCACTATGCATATTTCCTCGAGTGCTGTTCTTCACAAGAAGATGATGGTGGCTTAGACTGAATATCATGGATGATAGGAGCACACGAATTGTCGTTTAGTCATTGTGACTTTGAGCAGAAGTAAGGTTGAGAGGCCTGGGGAAACGTTATTTAGTCGCTGCCTTCCGACGTCAGCATGGAGGTCCCGGACCAGGGCCTCCCCGCGCCGGGCCGGCCCCCCTCACCCCCAGCGAGGGGCGAGCCGCGCCCCCCGTGCGCCCCGCCTGCCAAAACCGCCAAGTCGTGGGAAGTGGCACTGGCGCCTCCCCTCCGCAGTTCCCCAGTTCCCCAGTTCCGCACCTCGACACCCATGACCGTGGTCGCGACTGGCCCGGTGGGCGCCATTGGCGTTGCAAGTCGCTGCCTGTGGTGTTTAGCCTCCAGGCGCACCATTCACGACTTCAAGCACAGGGCCCCGGCAAGGAGCGCGGGCACTGGAGCACAGCACGCGGCACTGCCGCAGCCCTTTCCAGAACTCGCGGACGGACGGATGGACGGACCACAAACCACTTTATAGGGCTGCAATCCGTCCAGACGCTACCGTCTGGGGGTTCGTGGACGACCATTCTGTTCACGGAATTTCGCGATCTGTTGTGAATCTGTTCGGAATATCGCCCTTGGCGTTCGGCCCCTGTGGGCGCCGACTAGTGCCACTCGCGGGTGCCAATCGGGGCACCCGCGGGTGGCACCAGTCGGTGGCCACGAGGGTCAAGAATGGTGGGAGTGGGAGTGGGAGGCAACTATCGACCTCCCACCCCCACCGTTTTATGGCATGTTTTGTGGCCACGCTTTGGGCCCCGCGGAGGCCACAGTCCACCCTTGGCGTTCGGCCCCTGTGGGCGCCGAGTGGTGCCACTCGCGGGTGCCAATCGGGGCACCTGCGGGTGGCACCAATCGGTGGCTACGAGGGGCAAGAATGGCGGGAGAGGGAAGTAACTTTCGGCCTCCCACTCCCGCCGTTTTATGGCATGTTTTGTGGCCACGGTTTGGGTCCTGCGGAGGCCACAGTCCACCCTTGGCGTTCGGCCCCTGTGGGCGCCAAATGGCGCCACTCGCGGATGCCAATCGGGGCACCTGCGGGTGGCACCAATCGGTGGCTACGACGGGCAAGAATGGCGGGAGTGGGAGGCAACTTTCGGCCTCCCACTCCCACCGTTTTGTGGCATGTTTGGTGGCCACGCTTTGGGCCCCCGCAGAGGCCACAGTCCATCCTTGGCGTTCGGCCCCTGTGCCAAGCGGAACTGCGGAGGGTAGACGCCAGTGCCCCCTCCAACGACTTGGCCATTTTTGAAGGGGGGGGGGGCGGCTCGCCCCTAGCTAGGGGCGAGCGGGGCCTGCCCGGCGCGGCCCGGCCCCGGTGCGGGGCCTCCATGCTGACGTCGGAAGGCAGCGACTAAATAACGTTTCCCAGAGGCCTGCAGGGAGTCACAAGAGCTTCCAGTGCTTTCCACAACTCATCACTTGCTGATCTCAACCTTAATAATTCTAGCTCGTATCCATTCATCGAAATACCATGAAGCACTATCTCTGTGACTGTTGGACTATGTTTGGTGCTGTACTTGTCCACAGATATTGTTGCCTTTTTTTTGCTCAAACACACCACTGGCCTACCTCAAGCACTGGCTTTTGACCAACTTCCATTTGGCATCGATCCTGCTGGTAAGTCTACCCATTGCTCGCCGCCTAAGTGGTGACAGTTTGTGTTTCTGGTGCTATGTACCAGGAGCGTTTCTATTTTGGCGATGCAGTCCTCCCATTGTTTGAGAGCGGGATTCCTCTCCTGCTGGACAGATTAAAGCAGCTGCCAGATGCTGAGAATGTGAGCAGACTGGAAGACGGCATCTTGGAATGGTGAAGAACCGTTGTGTAGTCTTGCCATTGTTAATTCCACAAGCTTATTTCAACATTGCATCTGATTATGCTAAAACGCCGACCAGAGATCAGAGACATCACAGTTTCTGGTGTTGATATCTAGTTATTGTGAATAGCAACAACAACAACAGCCGCCCACACTTTGAGCAGGTCATCATCATATGTTGCCCCATTCACAGCATTTGCTTACATCTGCATGGCTACACAAAACCAACATGATTCAACAAGGGTGGCAGGAACAACACTCACTGCTTGGGATGTTTACATCCACTGCAAATAATTGCTGATGGCAAACATCCTGGTTAGCAGTAGCAGGCAGTCAACAGTGTTCAGTCACATTGTGTGCATACGTGTGCTTCAGGTAACAATTGCATATCCAGATGAGGGAGCATGGAAACGTTTTCATTGCATGTTTGAAGGCTACCCAGAGGTGCGCAGTTCATTTTTGTTGATTTTCGATTGTCCTCTGTGCAGCGGTTTGCAGGCTTTTTGGCTTGGGGCCAAAGAACAGTTGGTTTTCTACGCCACAGGACACTGATGCTTTGGACATAAGAAGAACTTCCAAAGGATCTGTTGGTTATCTTAACACTCTGCAGTCCCAAATTTGTTGCTTTTCGTATGCGAGGACAAGTTGTGAATGTCATGTAGAGTGAGCATGTGTTGAGCCCCTTGTTGAGTCTCTTTACCATAGGGATTTCTGGTCAAATTCGATGACTACTGGGTTCTGCTGCCAAGAAAATAATGCTGGGTGTCAGTGCATGCCACTGGTTGGCTGTGTTGCATTCATGCTAGTCAGGCCTCAGTCTCTGAGTTCCAGCACATGTTTGAACAACGCCATACAGCAATGCACAAGAAAATGGCCGAACAGAATCGTTGCTACCTGGTCTGTCGCACTATCCACAAGTCTTAGTCGATGAGAGGCACAAGCCCAATATTTGGTTGTTTCTTTCATCTTTTGTGGACCATGTTAGATATACCTGTTGGAGCCAATGTACTTTCTGGAGCACTGCACTGCTTTAAATCGTTTCCTTCACAGTAAACATTGCCATGCACCAATTATTTTGCACATTTCTTTTGGCTTGATTTGCAATGTACGTTCCACGTTTTGATCAATGTCTTTGACGTCGTTTAAGTGTCGTTTGGTTTGAAGGTTTAGTGTGTTTCAGAATGCACAAGCTGCTCATTGTGGTGATACTAAAAGGCTGCCAGCCTGGGGTGCTGACATCTCATATCCTTTTCATGTGAGGCTTGGAGCAAATAGAGTTGTGGTGCCACAGGTTGTGTGCATCAAAGTGAGGGATGGGGACAAGAGGATTGTCCGTCTCAAGGTCAGACACTGCCTTTGCCAGTGAGTCAAGTTTGCATCTGGTGGTCTGTCAATTCCTCGGCAGTACTTCATGGTGTCCTGTCACTGCTTCCTGTACCCATGGTCTGCTGATTTGTCCTGCCTTGTGCTTAGGAAGGAGCCCCACAAGGCAGACACGTGGTGATCGTGGATGACCTTGTACAGACAGGTGGTACCCTCAGTGAGTGCCGATCGCTGCTGACCTCCCTTGGAGCTGCACATGGTAGGTATAGGTTTCGGCTGTGGACATTTACAAACTTTCAACCAACAGCTGTCAAGGCCAGAGTCCACTGGTGTATTGGATATATGTCCAATACATATATGTGTGTGCCACAGATGATGTGTGCTGTGTCATATTGTTGTGTTGTGTCATATTGCTGCATTGTTTTGTGAATACGCCATCAAACTGAACTGAAACAAACTAAGGTAATGAAACGGTCCACACAGGTTGGCCCCAAGCCAAAAAGGTAAAGATCGTTGATCAAAGAAGTTCAGCACTTAATAGCTGTGAATAGCTATGAAACTTAAACATTAGCAAACATGCTTGGTTGAGTGCTCCAATAGCCAGCATCAAGAAATGGAATCACACTACCATCACAACCATTGCAGGGAAAATGTTGGGAAAGCATGCTCCGGGGCCTAGCAGATACTGTTGGTAGTTACTGTTGTTGTCGATTTGGTAACACGAAGTCTCACTTCCCAACATAGCACTGTTTGTCTGTGGAGTTCAAGCAGATCTCCACTGTTCCCACAGCTGGGATCCAGATTGGGCAAGAGCTGTACATTGTGTTAGCTTGTGTGCAGACCACAGTAGCATGGAGTGTTAAGTGAGCTGTTGGGTGAACAACAGCTTGGCACCTGTTATCTGTGCATGCACACTACTGTGCTCCACCATGCAGGGACCTCTACATCCACATGTGGTGGGACAAGGAGACATTTTATGCAGAAGTGAGAACCTTTTGTATGATTTTTGTTTCCCGTACCATGAAGAACCTCGTTTCCATCAGCGAATCCTTTGTCTCATAACCTGTCCATGGTGTTGTTCTGCAGACGTTTATGTGGAGTTACAATTTTTGGGATCAATGCTCCTGGTCTTGGCACAATTGTCTTCCAGCTCTAACACTTGTGCACCTGACGTTGTGCCATGAGCTTGCTGGCATGATATCCAAAGAAAGTCCACTTCTGGATAGCATGGCTGTCTCACAGTTGTGAGACCAGCTGCACCAGCATAATGTGCTGGCTGCCCCATTCTTAAGTGCAGTGACGCGTGCTAATTGTTGTGTGTTTTCAATCACAGTAAGCGCCTATGTGACACATGCAGTATTCCCTGAAGAATCCTGGAAGAGGTTTCAGCAGAAAGAAGGTATGTTCCAAGAAAACACCCCTTTAGGCGAAATCCGCCTTGTCGGATCATATCGCTGCCCCTGCATCTCCAAGGAAAGCACGGGAACTCCACCCTCCATGCGTGCTCCCTCCATTTTCACGACTCCATTCAGTCCGTCAACACGCAACACGCGACTGCTTTGTGGTAGAGTTGTGCATATCGTACGTAGTCCTTATTTCATTGTGGTGCCTATGAAGTGTATGGACAGCACAGAAGTGGCAGTGAACGCAATAGTGTTGTTGTGAGGTATGAAAATACGAGTTCTTAATCAACACAGGATGACGCCGTAAGCCATCCATGCTGGGGTCGGGACATGCCGAGGGACGTCTGGGACATCATGTTTTTGGATGCAAGAACGGTGATAGTGCGAGGTGTGTGCTGCTTAACTTCGTTGCAGCTCAGCGTGCAATGTAAGCAATGTCAGTTCAGTTCAATCCTGCTCCACACATTCCATGTGTTCAGGGGAGTGGCGCGGCGTGCACTGACGACTGTGACATTTGGTGTGTGTTCGCAGGCGAGGAAGCAGCTAGCTTCAAGTACTTCTGGATCACAGATTCCTGCAGTAAGACAGTGAGCGCAATTGCAAACACGAAGCCCTTCGAAGTGCTGTCCCTTGCTGGTGCCATTGCCCGCGCACTGGAAATTTAGCGCATTCAACAGTACAACTTCCGTGCAGCAATGTGCAAGATTTAGAGAGACAGCATACATTCGCACCTGGGCATTTTCAGGATTATGAACTTGTGCATCGCACCGACAGCGAGCAGCCAACGGAATTAGTTAATGGAACACGCACTTGCAGTCGAGGCGAGGAAGGCAGTGACGATGCGCTGGAGAACGACCATGACGCAGGCAGACCATCGCGAAGCAACCTTCATGCGCATCGCCGAATCTCGACACAGCCCCGGAATCCACACAGCTGAGAGTGGAAGCTGACAAGGGCACAGCGCTGTGCATTGCCATGCAGCCCTTGCAGATTCCCAAGCAAATGTTCACAGCTCCGCTGCAGAGTGTGCTTGTCGTGTGCGTGCCAGATTGGAATGTGTGCAGTGAGAGGGAGTGCACATGAAGCGTAGATAGAGTCGAATCTGGTGCGGCCCCCTGTGAAACCCTGTCGGCAGCGTCTCATCCTACCATCGACTGCACAGCGGCGTACGAGAGTGAGTGAACCATGCCCGCATGTGGATTGGACGTGTACTGCACGAGTTCCTTTCTTGGTGGATGGGCTATTAATCCTCACTCAGATACTAGGTTTTGGCACCATTGCTACAGGCCCATTGTGGCCGCTGTCACAGCAGACAAGCGCTGGGACGAAAGCGTCGCCCAGCCTCTCGCCGACTTGGCTCGAAGCACAGGTCTTGGCTGTCTGCGCAAGTAAACGCACGTGGACCTCACTTCAGGAGAAATTTCTATTAAATAGATACAATTCGTGAATTCACTTCATTGCCTTGTAGTACAGGTCGATGTAGTCTGAAGCCGGCAGGTTCCAACTCCAGTCACTCTCCATGGCAATCCTCACAAGATCGCTCCACAATTCCTTGTCGTTGTACCACGCCGAGATGGCCCTGCGATTATCACCAACCAGCAACTAAACGCAAGAAACGCGGTCCATATGGCACACTGCGCACTTTGGATAGCCAATGCATGCGTGCGCTCCCCTCCCCCCCCGAGGCAGTTAAAGTCCTTCAAGTCTCGCATGCATTGTCGTGGCCCCATCGAGGCGGAGTTAGACTTCAGTACGCAACTTGCACTCAAATGGCCGCAATTTTGCCCAACGTTGCTCGGAAGGCGTTCAAGTACACTGCGGTTCATCCCTGCGACAACTTTGCAACAGATGCCAATGCACAATGCACACAATGCACAACGCACAGGTAGTATTTCTGCCGTGCAGCATTAGTTCCGGATAGCGAGGTGGCGTACTATGATGCTGTTGTATGTCTGTCCACCCCCCGACGCCATTCACCACAAAACAAGAACGAAAAGTGTGCAGCAAACTGGGGGCAGCCTCCAAAGCACTGTTTAACCCCCAGACAACATATCTCGCATCTCCTAATGCGTCCTGAACAAATTGGGAGGGAAGCAGGCATAATTCCCACTAGTATAACGGCCACCAGCGCGCCTGTTTTCACGAGGCAGGGTTCCAATTAGTTCGGGACAACGCGCTGCGAGCGTACACATTACCCTTCATACAATAGGTGCGCGTGTGTGATATGTTAATGCCAACGAGAACAGCAACAGGACCACACTAGCGCACCTGTTGAGGGCATAATCCACCCCGCCAGCGTCAGCACCTTCGAAGCTGAAGCCGTTCACCAGCGTCCCCTCCGCTTCCGCCCGCTCAGCATCGGTGTCCACATCAAACACTGTGTCATTGAGACCCCCCGTTCTGCGGACGATGGGGACTGTCCCATAGCGCATGGCAATCATCTGAGTGAGCCCACACGGCTCGAAGATAGAGGGGACAAGGAACATGTCGCAGCCAGCGTAGATCTGGTGGCTCAAGGGCTCGTTGTATTCGAAGACCATCCTGACACGCTCGGGGTACTGCTCGCCCAGGTGGTGCGCCAGAACGTTGAAGTCGTTTTGGATGGCTGGGTCGGGCGCAGAGCCAAGCAGCACAAACTGGCCGCCACGCTCCAGCGTGCGCCAGGCGGCATGGCGGATGAGGTGTATGCCCTTCTGGGGTGTCAGTCGAGTGACGACGCCGACCACTGGAACATCGAGCTGGAGGAAAAGGGCATGGGAATGTCAGTAGAGGGGGCATGTACCACCGATGGAGAGGAAGTGCAAAGCCAGCAACACTGCCCTCGCTCTGTTGAGATGAACGAGCTCCAGTGCAAGAAAACATAATCCACAAAAAATACAATGGTTACGAGAGGTTGCCCGAGTGCAGGCATGTCTGCTCTGTCCCATTCAGAGCAGATGTTCAGCACGCCAAAATGAAAGCAATTGACTGCAACTGTCACAATCTTGGTAAAAGTAGAGAACACCTCCACTGACGGGAGGCAAATAGTAGGGCAATGATAAAGCAAATGGTAGGGCAAGTGGTAGTGCAAATGGCCAAAAGCTGGACAGCGTTCACCGCACAAGATGGTGCAATACAAACAATTCAAAAACTTCACCAACCTCTGGTAGATTAAGATTTTCTCTCAATGCCTTCTTGACCAGGGCCTTTCCATCCCTCACAGTCTCAGATGTGTAGTTTGTGGGGAGGTAAACATCTTGTGCCGGATCCCAGACATCTGTGTCAATACCATTGCGAATGCCATAGAATTTGTGCAAATGTGGCGCCACCGCAGGATGTCCACTGACCTAACGATGCAGAACACCACTTTTTACAACTTTGACAGGTGCCCTCACTGGCTATCTTCTGCACTGTTGTCCCAAAGCATGCATGTAACTGAAATTGCACTGGTGCATACTGGCAAGCCCATTCGCTTCCCCCTGCTGCACTGCGTTCTAGTTTCTGCTTTCAGAATGCAGAGTGTTCCTTAGAAACACGCGATTTGGGTGGAACGTCAGGTTCTGCTCCAATACAGTACTGTGCGAACCCTTGTCATGCAGTTGACTTGTATATCATGATTCACATCATGCAGCATTCTTGACATGGAAGATAAAGCCTTGATGCCAAGTGACTGCACAGCCTGTCCACCACAGTGGTACTCCTGCTGAACTCATCGATCCGAGGATCCGTACAAAAATCTGAAGACATGCAGCAGACAGGCATCAGGCACTCAAGAAAAGTATAAACAGTTAGGAGCAGTGAGGTAAATGTAGCACAAGTAACAACAAAAGCAGCAAGTGGAAGTGGCAGCAACAATATCAACTCCAGGGACAGTGCAATAGCAAATGCTTGGAGCAAATCTTGTCAATCTGGAGAGGCGTCTTTGCAATACCTCGTCTGCATACGTCTTGGACACAGTAGTGGCAATGTCGCAGCGCGCCATTGCCTGGCCAACAAGATCTGCACCATAATTCAGGTTGTGGATTGTGAACACGCATCGGGTATTATGCCTGTCCCCCCACACCACAGGTGCTGTCTGCCAGTCATGGCAGTGAACGATGTCAGGCTGGATGTTGTAGATTTTGATGTACTCCAAAGCAGCACCACAGAAGAAATTGAACCGTGCAGCATCGTCGTTCCGGCCGTATATGCAGCCGACCCAGAACATGCCATTGTGGGGTTCGATGAACGTCACATTGACGCCCTCCACCTTGCAACATGGAGCAAGGCACAGTGCTTGTCAGGGACACAGCAGTGATTTTCGAGGGACAAAGGATGAGTGCCTTGGAACAGACAGTGTAGAGGAAATTATGCCTGCCATCGTGTTGCGCATAAAAAGGGCAGTGCTTTCCGACCACTGAGTCTGATTTGAAAACATGGAAGGGGACTGATTAACACCGTTCAGAAATTCAAAAGTTGCTGTGCCGCACGTTGACATGGTTTGTTATGAAAGTACAGCGGGCCCAAACACTGCTGATGGTGACTCTTTGCAACACACGTTCGACAACGGGAAGCTCAATGCAGAATTAGACAGTGCAGGATGAATGGGCCAGGTGTAGTTGTGCAATAAGGCACATTCACAGCCCCTCCAGTGAGATTGCTGCCGACACAACATCTGTGTATGGCGTCAAAACCCGTCTCCATGAAATTCAATTTTGCAACTGCTGGCTTTCTAGGCTTTGGTGTGTTGCTACAACATTTTGCAGGGGACGATTGGAGTCACGTGGCATTGAACCCTACTCATGTTGCAAAATGCACTACCGTTACTTAGAATTATGCTGATTGTGAAGTGCAGACAGCTGTGCCACTCTTAAGGTCACCCCCGTTTCAAAACGTCACAAAAATTAGCCCACCAAAAGTGCTCCATGTGGAAACATTGTGCTGCAGAAATTGTGGAAGCTTTCCCCTTTGCTGTGCTCATAGAAGTGGTTTCACCCTTTTGTGTGATGCAGACCTGGCCTGCTGGTTCTAGACAAAAATGGCCTGCACTGCTGAAAAACCGGCCACACGCCCAAGACAGTCACATAGCTCCCGGGCCAGATGTGCCACATATTTGTTAGCAATTGCAAACTGTTGCAAACAAGTGCCGCCTGCACACCAGGCCTATGTTATGTGCTACTCAGTACATAATGTCATTATTTCAGGCATGTGCACCTCAGTTGCCATTCTTTTCCATCATTCCCTTTCGGCATCTGGTGGACATTGCTAGCCTATGTGGTGTGGGTTGCAAGTTATGGACAAAGCAGAAAGTTTCTGGCACAGCACGGGGAGCCAACGCTGTAGAACAATATTATAACATCAACCAGTCTACTTCAAACAATATACTTTATTTGGTTGTGTGTTCTCACCTTTCCAATCAAGACATCACATAATGTAATATCCATTTCAAGGACAATATGATACTGAGATTCTGATAATCTTACAATCAATACGCTAACACTGGGAATCCAAGCATCCAAGCATGATTCAACGCTCAACCTACGTGTACTCGGAACAATAACAGTTCAAACGCACCTTCCCTTTCCACGCACGAATTTGTGTGCTACCCCAGTGAAAGCTCTGACTGTTCTCAAGCCCCTGCACCACACTGTAGTCGATGCAGTCATACTTGGGGAGGTACACTTCGACCTCATGGCCCTCATCCTGCACCGCTCTTGCCAAAGCTGTCACCACATCTGCAAGGCCTCCCACCTGCCAGCAAAATGAATTCCATGAAGCAGTCTGACACACAATTTCCCATCCCCCCATCCCCCGCAAGGTTAGCTGGCTGGACTCATCTTCGACTGCATTTGTCCCTGGGGTATCCACTACAGGAAAGCTGTCCTAGAACAATAACGCCAGGCAGTAAGCCTTGCACTGTCTTTTTGTGCAAGGAGCGCACATTTGCAAAACAGGTGGCAGTGCACACGATCACGTGCAGGGATTAGCTTTGAACTTTCAATGTGTTCAAGATTTCCCAATCCTTAGCTCAAGTTAGCAAAGGGGGCACTGGCAAATGGCAGCAGCATTTAACTACTTTGTGTACTCTTGTATTATTCCTGCATCCCAAGTCTGTGCAGCACGTGCAGACATCCAGCACACCTTCTGAGAAGGAATCTAATCACAGAATATTCCTGGAAAATCAGCAATCATGAATCAAATGATCGTGGACCACCTCAGCATCAACGGTCAAGCCCCTGTAGTGCTGTGAACTGGCTGATGTGCACAGGAGAACAGCCATTGCCGAATCTGTTCGACTTTCATGCAGACAATGTTGATCCTTCTTCAAAAACAATATGGAAATGGTCTGTCTGCACGTGTCGTCTGCCAAACCTTTGCAATTGGTGCCATTTCCACAGTGATGTGTGCTACACGAATGGGCTCCATCTTGCCCTTGCCACCCTCTACTGGGATGTGGAAGTCCAGCCCATTGTTGCTGTCATAGAATCCCCCGTGGAGATCTCCAGTGTCCGAAAATACAAGATCCATGACATGTGCCTCCTTGGGTACCTGGAGATAGCCAAAACAAATTAACCAATGAAAACAAGCTATGTTGTTGTCAATATGCCTCCTTGGCACTGCGATGTGTGCTCAAGGAAGTCATTCTTGGACACTTCTATAACTCAACATAAAAGCAATGACCTAGGTAAGGGAATGGAGAAGCGGACACTGTGGCTCCATGACCGCATCATGCCACTAGGCGGGACTCTTGGGCAGAGTGGCACAGTTTTTCACACAGAGACAGTGTGCTGGTGACCAAATCTCAACTGCAAAAAGCTCTCCAAGCCTTCCATTATTGGGTCCAGATGCCGCCATTTGAAACTGTAGTTAGAAACCCTTGCATTCACAACGCTGGCAAGTCTGCTTGCAGCCTTGCTTTCTTGCCTTTAAGCTTGTACCTCAACAACAGCCCTCAGAAATCCCACTCCGCTGGAGTGCACGGGTTCCATCCTGATTGGCGTGAAGCACACTGAGGAGCGCCACCTGTTGAAGGAGCCCCGAACATACACCTCTGGGCGTCCACGTAGCACCGTCAAGTCTGGGCGATAGTAAATCTCGACTGTGCTGCCCGCTTTTGGCCTGAGCGGGTTTGTGTACAGAAACTCCTGCTGTGCCTTCCACCTTCGCATGAATGACTCTGTCTGATCAAAAACAGCAACAAAGTGCTCAGAATGCACTGGTCATTCCCTGAAGATGGTGCTCAGCATGCTCTTGTGCTGACACACATTAGTGCCCTTCATGCAACTTGCACTACTCAGACACCATCTAGCGGCTGCGTTTGAGTGATTCCCTCACCAATGCTGACACAAACAACCACAAAATAAATGTGGACACCTAAATGCGACAAAACATTTGGAATCTTAGAAAAGATAGGAAAACACAGAGAAGCTACAAACTCCCACTCGTACCCACTTTTAGCAAGATTTTCTGTGCAGCGCCCTGTGCTGCCTGGTCCTCCCGCAATCGGTCATTTTCCTTGGACTGTGTTCTGAGTTTATCATAGGTGAGAAGCACGAGCTTGTCAATGGGCAGTGGGCCCTGGATTGCTGTGTGGAAGTCCATGTTCTTGTTGTTGTCCCACACCTCTTGATTGCCGTCCTCGAAGACATAATTGAGAACAGCAGCTGTGGCAGGAATATCAATCCAGACACCCCACCAGTCGCGCTGGGGCCCAGCAGCAGCACCCAACCCGTGCTTTGTTACCTCTTTTTGACCCAGCCTCTCAAGTTCAAGGATCTGCAGAAAAGGACAGGGTATCCATCAGACACGTGGCAAGCCCAGGAGGCCAAATTCCGAGCTTGACACATTTGTTCAGACTGGGAAAAGATGACTGCCCACTCTCACTTGGGGTGATGTGAGGCAAGTTTTTCCACTTCTATGTTGTGGTTCCTCCTGTCCAGTTTCTACTGGTTTGTCTCTCTACAATTCTACAAAACGGAAATCCGCAGATTCAAAAAAGCAAAACAGTTCCAAATTTGTGGGCAGAACCATGAACAACATGGATGACAGGCAAAATGGAGTGACGAACACCCAGATTCCTGTCCACATCACTATAAACTCGCAACCTTGCACAGCCCTTCTGAGGGTGTGGGAATGCATTTAGAAACGGACCAACACGATACAACAGTCTCCAAGTTGCACTCGCCAAGTTCTACCTGTTTTTCCTGCTCCCACCAATTATCCGTCCCAATGTTGACAAACACACGACTTGACTGCGCCAGTGGCCCAGACAAGCGGTTGTATGCCAACAATCGCCTGGAGGCCGGTCTCAGGGCTCCCCCAACCCATTGCACTATGCCATCCATGCTCTGGCTGGCATTCGCAAGGGCTTTCACCGCCTGTGCACGCCGCTCGCCAGCAGAAGCTGTTGCAATGGCCATCATGTCTTCCTGTCTCGCCGCCTGGAACCTCTTTCGGGCTGCTTTAGAAGCTGCCTTTGCCTCCGAGGCAGATCGCTTCCTCAGCCTGTCCATCTCTGCCAAGATGTCCCTGTCCCTCTGCTCCTCACTCTTTTCAAACTCCTTAATGGCCTTCTCCAGAAGTTCCTCTTCTGTTGGGGCGCCCTTGAGCTCCAATTGGAAGTCAGAAGAGTGGTTGTTGTCCACCAGTCCAGTGGCCTTGTCCATCACCACGAAGTCGAAGCGGTACATGTCCCTTGGCAGAGTCAGGTTGGCCTCCCACCACTCTGAACCATTGAGGTTGGACAGCCCAGTGCACTTGGTCATGCTCACCAACTGGATGCTCTCCCATCTGTTAACCCCAAATTTCAGTATAAGGCTGTCACTGGAGGGCAGGGGTCCTGCACAGAAAAATACAAAGATCAAAACCTGGACCACAGCTCAACTGAAGACGGCCTCGAGCTTTGCACTTTTGAAAAGTGGATGATGCCATTGTCGCTGCCCTTCCTAATGCCCATTTCTGAGAGTATCTGACAGAACTTATGATATTGGGCCACAGTCAAGTGCAGTGTGTCTGAGTGGCGGATAGTGGGCAAGACAGTGCATGTGTGTATCGGCAAAGGAACCCGCTTGCTTGTGGCGTACCCTGATGGCAATCATAGAAAATCCGTACTGGCTTGCCAACATTAACTGCCCCTGGAGCACACACAGAGAACAGATATGAGCTCATGCAAGCCAGCACACAACATAGTTCTGGCTCTGTTGCTGGAACTAATTGTCCGCAGATCGGAGAGGTCAGAACCTGCAATAGAAGAGGCAAGCAGCACACATTGTATGTGGACCTAAACATGCCTTGGATGAAACATGAGCCAACAAAACTGTCCATTCAACATACTCTGGCCACTCCACATCAACAAGCACCACAGTGCTTCACAACTGACAATCCGTTGCCAGTCTGCTCATAACTTGCCACCCTGGAAAGAAGAAAAACTCCACATCCACATTGCACAGCCCTCCAGCCACAACGCAAATGAGCCATGCAGCAAGCCTCATGCCCTGGCAAGTGGCACAATCATTTGAGACCCATACCTTGGGGCAACGTGAAGATGGAATTGCCAACACTCGATGCTTGCTGGGCACTCTCTCGAAGGAGCAGCTCAGCAGAGTCTGCAGGTGGCGCAGCATGCACTGCTTCCAGAGGCGTTGCTGCTGGTAAACTTTCTTCAATATGTACATCCTTTTGAACTTCTGGGACAATTTCTGTTTTGGTGGGTGTTGCTTCGACTGGGATGAGGCCGGCATCCCCTGCCAACATGCTCCCCACAGTCCTCTCCAATTCTGCAATCCTTGATCGTGCCACTTCAGAGTCATTGGCAAACTGCATGACCAGATCCCTAAGTCCGGTGTTGAGGACCCGGAGGCGTTCCACAAGTTGATCCTGCGCTGGTCAAGAACGGTCAGACAGGGGCCTTCTGAAAGTCACCAAATGAATTGGAGCAATCACCAACAGTTTAAGCCCTCAGGATATTCAATCGGACATCCAACAAATATTTTTGCAGGGGTAATGTTGCTGCTGCAGATTTGGAGTGACCACGTCTCATCTTCGCAATAGTGTCAAGTTAGACACTGTCAACCATTTTACCAGCCCCAGTGTGAACAGCACGTCTGGAAATTAGACTTGCAGTTGAGCCATGCACAATTGTGCAAGACCACAAAGGGCACAGGAAAAAGTGCAGGTACAGTGCATTGAAATAGCAGATACATCTGCAACAGAGAGTGCAAAAAGACATCTCTCACTGAAGCTGTTCAGCAGTATTACTGGTGGTGTTCGCAGTATTGCCACAGTCCTCAGTGACAAAGACAGAAGGCCAAACCCAAGTACTTCATGTTGCAAGATATACTCCTGAACCTATCACCCTGTGCTCCAAGTGTACCTTGATTGTGGTGGCAACCTGCCCACACTTTGCAACTACTATCCAGCCATTGGCCTTTTTGCATGCTGCTGCCTTTGTCACCACAATCAAGCTCCTGGGACCACCGTCCCTTGCTGCCTGACTTTCGTTACGCCATTGGTACACTTGTTCCAGCGCGCTCTGTGGAACAGATTCTGGGCAGCTAACACACGCTTTTCTTCCCTACACCACGTGACAATGCTCACAGCGACCAGGCGTACACTAGAAGCAAATCATCCTCAGGAGAAGACCCAGCAACCATGACGTCGAAGCATCCACAAAGGCGACCCCAACAACCAGGCGTATCTTCTCTCACCCTCCTCAACTCTCCATGTGGCTCAGGTGGGCCAAACTGACCCAACCGGCACTCACAGATATGGCCCCCCCCCCCCGCGCACCTTCTGCTTCCCCTGCTCGGCCCTCTTCGCCGCCCTCGCCATCGCGTCCTTCCGCGCGGCCTCGAACGCCGCCGCGGAGGACGCCGCCTCCGTGAATTTGCGCACGTCCGCACTGCCGCACGCCGCGCAACCACCAATCACCCCCATCCAAAATCAACAAACAAATCAACAAAATCAACCGCAGGGGGAGGCACACGCCGGAGGTTCCAAATCGGTCGGCTCACGCGCCCACCCACGCGGTTCGGCCGGCTCCCGCGCGCACCTACGCGCTCATGCGCCCACCTCTCACTGAGCCCGGCGGCCACGGCGGCCTGCTTCTCCTCCGCCAGCCTCCTGGCCAGCTCGCGGGCGGCGCTGATCTTCGCCGCTACCGCCCTCACTCGCGACGACGGGCTCGACGGCTCCTCGGGGGCGCCCTCCCTTTCCGTGGCCTCCTCCGGGGCGGGCGGGGCTGTCTGGATCGCGGCGGGCGGCGGCCTGCAGCGCACCAACGATCAGTCCCCCCCCCATTTCCACCCATAGGTTCATCATTTTCTACTGAATGGGCATCTGGCGAGTGGGGGGGCGCTCACCTGCTGGGGACCCTGTTCCTGCGCCCCGCCCTCGCGGCTACGTCGGCCGTCCGGATCCGCGTGCCGCCCGAAGTCGGGAGGCCTGGCGCGAGCGGCCTGGCGGGCCCATGGGCGAGCTGGCCCCCTGGCAGTCGCGCGCCTCCGGCCACGGGCATGCTGGCCTGCGCGCCTGGCGGGGCAGGGCGTCAGCGGACGGGTGGGATGGGGCGGCCACGAGCGGGCTGAACGGTTCCCGAGCTGCGCAAGAAGGATGGATTAGGGAATCGATCACCGCCGCAATCTGGTGGGGAAGTGGAAGATGGTTGAAGGTCATGTTGCGACCAGGACGTGTGAAAGGAACGCGCAGGTGAGTCCCCAGAAGGCCGCCCAGAACCCAAGAAGGCGAATGGCACAAAAATTGCGGGTGCAGGGCCTTGACCACACAGGCACGTCGGCCCTGTGGCGCCCCATGCAGGCATCAAAACAGCGAAGGAGCCACAAGAGCGCCATTGCCGCGTTTCAGGCCGATGAGTCTCGAGGCACGAACTGGAGCCCGACACTCACGTGCTCACGTCGGCGGCTTGGCGCCCGCAATGGGCGCAAACCCACCGCGCCCGGCGGGACCTGAATGGGGGGGCAGGGAGGATTCCAATTCCGAGGCAGGCCAAGAAGACAGCGCAGTGGCCGCGCCTTGGCGACCCTCCCTCGGCTGTTGAGCCCAGGCGGCTTCCGGCTCGCGCCCGCAGCGGCTCGGTGGTGCGCCAGCGGCCCGCGGCCGCCCTTGCGCCCAAGATTTGGGGACAGGGCGCCCAGCAGGCGCAGAGACAGCCAGAGGCGGACGTGACGTCAGTCGATAGAAAGCTCAA